TTTCAACTTTTTAAAGCCATTTCCTAGTTTAAACGGTTAAGCATGACATTTTTCAAATTTTCCTCACGGTGTAATTACTTATTTTCTGGAATAAAAGGAACGAATACCATAGGACAGTATGTCTCACTGGCATTGCTTGTATTTCTTTTACATATTTTCAAGTTACATACAAAAGTCTCATGTTGATATAATGGCACTTTTATAGTTTATGCTCTTTTGGTTGCTTCCTGATGACTTCCAAAGATTCTGATTCTACTCCTTTCAAAATCAGTATTTTCTGATTGCTCTGGTTAAGTATCTGCATATGAAATCTCTAGTTCTCACTTAAAAGATTGTCCTGTATCTAACTCCTCTTATTAAATATTACCTTTATTTTTTCCTTCCGTGTTAAGGTCAACTAGGTTTGGGACTTTGCCAATTTCTTCTTGCTAGGTAATAGCAAAGGGACAGAACAAAAATACTGCAAAATATTAATGTTTGGTGATCTTCCATCTGATTTGTGTTTTTTATTTTAAGGGAGAGATTAAAGTTGTCACCATGGAAAAAGGAATGGTTCTGAGGGGGACAGCAACTGAGCTGTGTTCAGGAATACCACAGAAATGTGAACAATTTATTACTTTCTTGGAAAGTAATTAGAAAACAAATGGTTCAACAGTCCCTGCATTAATCTGTCTTTGTGCAAATGGCAGACAGTAAAATATTTATCATCAACTGTAGGAAATATTTCTCAAAGATCACATAGAAATTGACAACCATATTTTTGCCAGTGAGAAAATGGAAGAAAGCAGGTCAATGGAAGACTTCAGCACAACTTCTGAGTATGCAGCCCACAGATAGTTTAAGGACACTACAGTGGTAACAAGATACCAGTAGAACTGACCTGGTTCCCAGTTACAGCTTGCACTAGTAACTTCTCATTGCGGCTACTCAGGAATCCAAATAGCAAGGAGAAATCTGTCTGAAGAGCTGCACTTGGTAGGCAAAACAGAAGCCCTCTTGTATGTAACTTAAATCAGAACAGGCTTTCAGTACTGTATTTTAGTACATATCAAGACTTTGAAATTACAGGTATCCTTATGACAATTATCCTAACTAACTACAACAGGAGCAAGTCCCAAGAAATACAGGTTAAATTCCTAACAATATCATCCTTTAAAGTCAACTTACTAACTGTACACCAAAAAAAAAAAAACCCTCTCATTTTTAGCATCAAGTGAAAGCCGTCTTGTGACGACATCACCATCTCGCCTCACTGATTTAAAAAAATTGGTACTTCCTATCTTGATAACCTACTGTATCCCTACTTTATTTGCTGGACTTGATTGCAAATTTTAGGCAGTTTTTTTCTTCTTTTTATAAATTCAACTGCACCCATATGAAATGATTAACTAGTTGCCGAATTCAAGACATGCAAATACTCTGAAGCATTAATAACGAATGTAGTACTTTGGATGAGACTCATTTCAAGGCTTTGGGAAGACATTAATGGCCATCTGGTAAAACCGGTAGAAAACATTCTGAGTTTCAAAAATTTCAACATATGGAGAGGTGAGAAAGATAACACAACATACTCAAGAGCTTGGGCTGTGGAATCAGATATGGACTATAACTCTGACCAAATTAATTGTATCTGTGCTTCAGTTTCTTCCTCTGAAAACTGGCCAAATTTACTACTACTCATAAGATTGTGAGGAAATGAGAATATATTTACATCTATATAATGTGATTAATAAATTATGGAATACCTGCACTGTGCTGAGCACTTTAAATGTATACCTTAGTTAACTTTCACAGCTCTAAAGAGTAATCTTATGTCATAGATGAAGTAAGGTTATAAAGTTAAATTTCCAGAGGTTACATGGCCTGAGAGAGAGGTTTTGGGTAACTGTAAAATATACATTTCTCTTACATCAGGGACCCCTGAATTTTAATGAACTTCAGTATTTAAGTTTTAAAATGAGACTATAACAAATAAAATGTTTACAAATGAAACCTTTGTTTTCATACTAAGTGCTTCTTTCACATCAAAAGTTTACTATATTTTTAGTAATCTTTATATTAGCTTGAAACTAGTCAACTTAGGAAATTATCAAACCATCGATTAATAATTAGGTATTATTACAGAAATGTTATTCTTTGTCATTTTTTAGCTTGCTTTTCTAGTAATCATTGTCCCACAAAATACTTTCTAAATACATTCATGTTACTGCTTTCCACAATATATAAAGGAAACCTATTTACATAATATGGATTTTAGCTTTGGTATCTAATTAAACATCCTCAAAAATCAATACTTTTTAAGTCATCTGGCAAAATAAAAATATTCCTGATTAAATCATTTCAATTCAAGCATGGGAAACTAAAGTATCTTTGTCTGTTACTCCTAAGATATAAAACAAATACTTCAACAGACTTAAAGTGCACTTATTTCAGTCAATATTTCTATTTTAATACAATAAAAGGTCCTTTCTTGATTTTTCTGTTATCACCATTATTGCTCAATGTATAGCATTAAAAAAAAAGGCACCTAGAAAGCCAAAGGCCATAAAGATAACAAAACACCTTGGGTCAGAGTTTGAAGTAAAATAAATAGCATACGCTATACTAGAGTAACAGTCTAAGATACAGAAAATGTCATTCATTTCTAATAAATGTAACTCAATTAACAGGCTCATTAAAGACATGAAGATGGTTCTCTTCTTTTTTTTGAGACATTTTTTGCTATAGAGCACGTGTGTGTGCTCACCAGAGAGACAGAAAGTGAGAAATCAGTCCCCTGGGAGGATGGCCATGGTGCAATCCCTTCTCCTCTCAGGATTTTGAGCACACATGTACATGCATCCAGCGTGAGTTTATTAAGCTACCAGGTTTGGGACTTGAACCATGGTCGACTACGTGGGAGTCCAGCAACTTAATTATTACACCATCTGTTGGTCCCAAAAGATAAACATGGTTTTCTATTCTTCCTAGTGTTATTAAGATTTGTAAACATAAATAACTTTCTAAAAATAACTTCTCTATCCATAAAAGTTACATATCACTATGAAAAATTACCTGGTTGTAATTTATAATGGCCAGCAGTGGAATTATAGGAATTGGTTCACACAAGGGGGGGAAAAAAAACACAACTTCTTGAAAAGGTAAAATAGCTTAAAGCATTTAATATCTAAACCAATTTGTTAATAGTAGTCACAAAATATGCTCAATATAGAAACCCACATTTATGTCTTTAAGAAAAATTGTAAAATACATTTGACCTCAAAACATAAATTAACCCACTTAAAGAATCCGCAGCAGTCAAAATCATGGTGAATTTTAAACAACTTCAGAATAAAATAATAAGTACTTCATACTGCTTAATAGCTAAAAAATGCTTACAACTCCTCATAAAAATAGTCTGAGGCAACTATTTTTTCTTTTATTCTTTAACAGACACGTTCAACATTATGGGCAACATTCTTAAAACCTTACGCTTCACAGACTTTCAGACATTCAAATACTATGGTCCCCTTTTATTTGATGCAGTTAATTCAGCTAGGAAAAAAAGCATGGTAGACAACTTAATACATTTTCACCAAATTGATAGTAGTACAAAAAACTTAAGACTACAGAACTACACATCGTACCTAATGTATCATTAAAAATAGAAGACAGTATTTTCCTCAGCCAATAAAACAGCACATGGTATGCTGTTAATGCACACCTTTTAATGCGTACTGTCATTCATAAATTATTTACAACTTCTACCGTGTGAAGAGAACTAGAATGTAAATTTTCTGCAAAACTGGAAAAAAGCAATACAAAATTTGTGAAAGCCTGTTTTATATTGTACAAAAGTAAGCCAGTTTTTCTCTCCCAGATACTATATGCAGTGATATTTTGGACATATTATAGTAATTCTTGAGGATGTTTTAATGCTGGAGGTAAGTTTACAGGCCTCGCTTCTTCATCAAGGAGTACTAGATCTTCTATTTCACTGCCTCTGTATTTCCTTTTACATATTCTTACCACCACCTTTTTCTTAAGAAATAACTTCAATGCTTCTCTTGATGCAACAGCTTTTGCATTTTCTTTGCTTTTTCCACAGCCTGTGCCCAAATACACAGACTTGCACCTCAATTCACAAACAATACTTTCTTGAGAGCTTTTATTTTGAGGCAGATCTGCCAGTTCCTTTAGTGGGACAAAAAACACATCCAATGTTGCTTTCAGAGCCTCAATAGCTGCATTTAGGAGCTCTCCATGATTTACATTGGGACTAAAGCCACCAACGGCCACCAACTTCCATGCCACTGTTTTATACAGTCTATTGAAGAAAGGTTGCTTCTGTTTTACATCTTCATTGGTTAACTTGCAACAAGAGAATTTGACAGAACTCTCACTTGACTGTGAAGTACTTTTAGAAGGCAACTGTGAGGTAGTCTGAGAACTACTCTTAGAAGCCAGCTGGGACACACTTGCTAAAGTGCTCTTAGAAACCAGAGATCCACTGGTCTGGGAGCTGCTCTTGGATGCTAACAGTGACGCAGCTACCTGAGAAGTGTTTTTGGAAGTTAGCAGTGACGTGTTTGTTGAGCAACC